ATGTTTTGATTCATGTAAAATTTTGCTTCCACTTCACAATTGTATACCACTTTGTGTTGGTCTTTCACATTAAATTCCAGTGAAATATATTTATGTTTGTYGTTGTAATGTGACAAAATATGGAAAAGTTCAAGGGGTATGAATACTTTTGCAAACCACTGTATTTCAAGTAAAATTTTACTGAGACATTACCTTTGTCAAAACATTAATTTACCTCTAAAATAATACACTCATGTCAATAAAATTATACACTGACATGTTTAGAAAATTAATGTGCAAATTACCCGTTTTTCCACATTAGCACCCAGTACCCACCACAGCCACACATGTGAACAGTTAGCAGGAAAATAACTTGTGGAAAAAAGAAACCCACAGTCACTCTGTTCATTGCAGAAATACACACAGATCAGAGCTGACCTACGTAGACACAGAACCTGGCTGGGATTAGTTCATGAGTGAAAGAGATATGCACACAAACACAACACACACACAACCAAAGCTAAACCAAAAGAACCATTGGTAATTTCATATTGAGCAAGTGTAATTCAAGCATGCACCAAATACTGCCTATCTCTGTGAGAATCATGTGATCAGCTGTTAATGTCATGCTGAAAGCTTCTGATTCACAGCATGGAAAAGTTAGCACAACCTCCACAGACCACAGGGTATAAACAGAAAGAAGAATTTATTGGCTTGTATAAGTAATTTGGCCTAAAAAAAAACAAGTTTTTGCTAATTGACTCTTGTTAGATGTATCCACTCAAAACATAGCTACATTACAATCCCAAATTCAAACTAGTGGAATTTGAAATACGCAGACGATTAGAGTATTACTAGAATGACAAGATTTGTTACTTTTTCAACGTGGAATCTGCTAGTAAAAACTCTGACAGTAGCTGCGTTTCCATTGACCATGAAAATGCGTAAATTAGAATTTCGAAAATAAATTTGCTCAATGGAAACACGTCAATTTCGAAAAWAAAGTTTTTCGACAAAATGTTTTTGCACTAGCATGAGGTGGTTTTTCAGCCGTATCAAAATTGGTGTTTTTCGCAAAACTACAATGGAAACACTTTTTTCACATCACAGGAGTCACGTGATCAACAACCGGCTGTTTCTACTGGTGAAAAAGACGACGACGAAGAAAACAGGAAGTAGAAATAGTAGTAATATCACAGAAGTAGTATAAAATAGTAAACTCACCGACTACAATTTCCCAAA